CCCCCGGGCTCGGACATCGCTCAGAGCATCCTGGCTCCTTCTGGCTATCACCAGGCCCTCCCCAGGAAGGAAGGGCGTGCAGTGGCTCCACACTGGGGGAGTGCTTACACAGCTCCCCATTCTCGTCTCTTGTTCCTTGCGTCATTCCCAGTGCCTAGAGCATCCCTGGCACCCGGAGACACTCAATAAAACCTTGTTGACCAAGTGAACGCACCTAATGGAGCTCCTGCACACCCACAGTGCTCACATTCACACCCCGCACTCTGCTCCTCGGCCTGTGAGCACCGGGCAGTCCGGTGCATACCCCCATGAGTGCACACGCCCGCAGGTGCCCCACAGGCCAGCTCCCGGAGCCCACCCTGCATGCGCCCACACCATTTCCCCTTGGCTGTTCTCCCCAGGGCAGACATGAAGCCCCTGGCCCAAGTCTGGGATGCGTGTCCTGGAGCACCTTGGCCCTGCTAGCCACACCCACCTCTGCCCTTTCTGTGTATTAGGAGGTGTGTGTACCGGAGGCTCAGGGGCTTCCTGGGGCAGGTGGGTATAGGCCAGTGTCCAGCCTAGGGCCCACCCCAGAGCAGCTGCCCTGCATTTTTGTGGACAGGCGGTCCAAGAGGCAGTCCACCGTAACCACTGGGTGTAGCTAGGGGCCCCCATCCCAGAGAGGCTGTGGGGAGCTGACCAGAGAAGGAGGACAGAGGCCACGGGTGGGGGTGCTGCTCCTCCCTGGAGAGGAAGCCCTCCTTGGGGCCCACCCGGACAGTGCAGTAGCCTCCAAGACAGCAGCAGGAGGATCGGGAGTGCACTCACCTCCTCTTCCTCCTTCTCTGGTTTTTGCCAAGACACTCCTGGTGGGGAGAGGGGGGCAGACAGGATGCAGGGGTCTGCAGTCCAGGGAGAGGTCCAGGCTGAAGATCAAAATGAGGGGTCCTCAGCCACGAGGCTGGTGCAGCTCTCCAATGGCGGAGTGTCAACCGGGAGGAGGAGAGGGCTAGCACCCGAGCCCTGAGTGCTCCACAGTGGGGGTTTGGGGAGGTGAGAGGGAGCAGAAGGAGCCTCAGGAGGGGCAGAAGGTGGGAGGAAACCTAGGGGAGCCTGCCAGCTGGGGTAGCTGTCCTCCCCCACCCATAATTCTCATTAGGTCCCCACGGTAAGCAGGCCCCCCACAGGCGCAGCTTTCAGCCAGCCAGCCCCATGAAAGTTCCAGGGCGGCCACTGGAGGCGGAGTGTCCACACGGGGCGTGGCACACACTAGGAGCCCTGTGTCAGCAGATTCTGGAGGAAGGGGCCTGTATTTGGGCCCTGCACAGCCTTATCCCTCTCCCAGCCTCAGTTCCTGTCTGAAAGATGGCAGGGCCCCTGGCCTCCACCCCCACCGGCAGCCTCTTTCCCAGCAAACGCTGGCAGGCGAGGATGGGCAGCTGTTTCAGGGCTCAACCCAGGCGTCTGCCCCCACTTGAGCTGTGGCTCTGTTTCCTGGGAGCTGCGGGGCTGGGGTGAGCAGAGGCAGCTCATCCCGGGTTCAGGAGGCCCCACAGGGACCCCCACCCCGGCGGCTTTCAGCCTCAGGACCATGGGCTTTGTCCAGAACCACGCTGGCCCTTTATGTGGCTGAGGCTGAGAAGGAAGGCAGGGGCAGCGACAATGGAACCAGTGGCGGGAAACCATCCTTAGAGACCCCATTGTGTGTCCCCGCCTGCCGGAAATGGGCAACAAGCAGGACCCCGCAGGGGAGACCCCACACCCTGCAGGCTCCACGCCACATCGGGATGCTCGGCACGTCGCAGGGGCCTCGGGACAGAGAGGCCCATTCTTCCCCGAGAGCAGGATGGGGCCAGGATGACTCTGCTGGGCTCGAAACAGACCATGGAGGGAAGTCGGACCCTGCCAGATTGCAACCCCTTCCTTCTCAGGCTGGGAGTGGTGTCCACCTGCCTGCCCCCAAGGGACCCCACCCGCCTCAGACCTTGGAGTTACAGCCCCTTTTCCACTCCCACTCTGAGCCGCAGAAGCAGCTGGCACGGGGGCGGGAGCAGCAGAGCTGAGGCTCCCGTGAGTGTGGGGGGGGGGGGGCACTGCACCCTCCCACCCAGCAGCAGCTCCTCCCCAGGGCGTGGGCATGGGCTGCTCTCCCACTCACTAGCTGGGTGAGGCACCTCGGACAAGGCACCATTGCCCCCAGCTCTGTGAAGTTGGAGTCGGAGCGGTGCCCAGGGTGTGAGGGATGAAGGGAGACGAAGCAGCCCGGGCTGGGCACAGGCACCGGACACTGGAGCCGTGCTGGGTAACATAGCCGTGTTCTTATTGGTTATCGCTATTTCCTCAGAAGTTGCTGGTACCTTGACACCTCCCCACCCACCCTCCTACCAGCCCCTCCCCAGCGCCCTGCTCCCAGGTCCCTCAGTCTAGCGCCACCTCACAGGGGTGCAGGTGGTCGGCGTGGGCCGCTGAATAGGCACGGCTGAACTCCTGGAAGCGGGGTGCGCAGCCCAGCCAGGCCTCACCGAAGCGGCTCCAGCCCATGAAGAGGAAAGTGCCAGGGCCAGGGCGGATGCCGCAGCGCAGCAGGGTGCGAATTGAGGCCTGCACCTGGGCCCCAGAGCCCCCCACCTGGAACAGTGGCAGCGTCTGGCGGAGGACACGGGCAGCCACCACGGTGATAACGGACTCCTGCAGCTCTGTATCGTGGGCAACCCCGTGGATGGTTCCGTGGATCACTGTGGGGAGACGTGTTGGCCAGTGGCACGCAGGGGAGGGCGGGCCCCAGGCTCCCCCCGCAGTGGGACACTCACCAAAGTCACTGTTGCACGCGGCCAGGAGGAGCTCAGCATGGCTGCAGGGCCTGCAGGCACCTGGCATGCAGGGAGGTCATGAGTATAGCCCCTGCCCTCTCCTGCACCACCAAGGCCTCCCCCCAGCCGGAAGCAGGAAGGAGAGGGGAAGGGACCAGAACCCCTCAGGGCCTGCTAGCAATTGAGGATCCCAGAGAGCACACGTGCACACACCCTGAAGATACCCTGCATTCAGGGTGACACTTGCAGACTCATGTGTGCAATACACATGGGTGCTGGGACCCGGGTCCAGGTGCTGTGCCCAGCATGTGGGCATGAGGACTACCTGTCCCTCTCCCAGCCTCACCTGGAGCTCAGGTGTCTGGGTGCACACACTCACACACTCATCTTACACACACACACCAGCATGCTGTCATCCCTATGGCCACCCAGAGCTGCCTCCTGGGGCCAAAGACACCAGCCCAGCCTGGGTGGCAGGAGGTTATGGTGGGCTCTGGAGTCTCTGGCGGGGGGCCAGAGAGCAGAACAGAGAGACCCACATCCTCTTCCGGGTCAGGCTCCAAGCTCAGGGAGAGCAAAGAGCTGGGTCTGGTGCCCTGCGGAGAGGCGGGGAATCGTCTCCACGGTGACAGGGCTCACACTGGACTTTTGTTGTATTGGGCTGGGGGAGGGGAGGGAGGTCACCGCTGGGCCAGGGAGCCCTGGACAGCTTTAGCCGGAGGCTTTGATTCCGTCCTCCGTCAGCCCCTCCCCCAACCCCTCAGGGACCAGGGCCCGGGTTGCCCTGCCTGGCCTCCCCTTACTCCGTTCTGCCCCGGGCCAGCTCTTTCCCTAAACTGACTCCTGAGAGATTGCCCTTCCCTCCCCTGACCTGTCCTGGCTCTGCTACTAGCTGTGTGGCCGCCAATAAGCCGCTTCACCCTCGCACCTCAGTTTTCCCCTCTGTGTAGTGCGGACGACAGGCCCTTCACTCACCATCCGCGCCAAGGCCGTGGGCCTGCGGAGGCAGCTCTGGACGCCGGTCCTCGAGCAGTTCGAAGCGGAAGGAGACCACGCGGCGGCTGATGTTGGGGTGTGGGGTGGCCTGCAGGAAGAGGGCCTGGCGCTCGTGGGGACCCCAGCGCACGCACCGGCCCCCGGCCAGGCCTGGGCCTTCGGCCAGCAGCAGCTCCAGGACGCCGCCTGCCCGCTCCGCGAAGACCTGAGCGCCCGCGAAGGGCCGCGCCGGGCGCAGGCAGGCTATGCGGGGCCGCGCGCCCCAGTCGGAGCCGCCCAGGGTCAGGCGCAGCGCCCCTGCCGGGTACAGCCACTCGATTGCGCCCTCCGCACAGGCCAGGGCCAGCTGCCCCACGCTGCTGGGCTCCTGGGTCAGGCCGCTGGGGACAGGACGGGCGGCGCTGAGGGGGCGGCCCGCGTCCCCACCCGCGCAGCCCCCTCCCTCGCAGCCACCAACAGCTGTGTCCACTTTGGGGAAGAGGAAACTGAGGCCCAGCGCCCTCAGACTCTGGAGGGGAGGGCAAGGATTCGGTGCCGGGTCGGGGCATCCCCCCAACCCAAAGGGCGAGCGACACCGTCCCCCCAGGCCCCTCCTAAGTGGGGAGCACAGCCCCGGGGGGTTGGCCCGCGCGGGCTTCCAGCGGCGGTCGCACCTGCCCCTCCACCTGCAGCGGTCCTCCGAGTAGCCGGCGCGGGCAGCCGCCGCAAAGAGGCTGCAGCAGAGCGCGCAGAGTAGCGCAGGGGATGGCATGACGCGTGGGGGCGGGGGGCGGCGGGAGCAGCCGGGGACCCCGGCCCCGCGGAGCCCCACCGCCCGCGCCGCTCCAGGCCGCTCAGCCCCTCCAGACGCCCTGGAGCCGCGGGCGACGCGGGCGGGGCCGGGCGGCCAATCGCCGCGCGGCCCCGGAACTTTCCTCCAATCGCAGCGGCGCTCGCGGGGGCGGAGCCTGCGGCCCAGAAGGCTCTGGGGAAGGGGCTCCGCGGCCGGACCTGCTCTGTGTCGCCCGCTCAAGGTCCTCCCACCCCGGCCTCGCCGCGCACGCCGTCCTGGTCGGGCCACTGTCCTCGGAGCCGTTGGCCGGGGTGGGGGTGGCGTCGGTGCCCACTGGAACCTCTGCGGTGGAGGGCGGCTCCTCTGCGGCGCCCTTTCCAAGAGTGGGACCTGGGCTTCCAGCCCCCATCCCGCCCCGAATCCTGCCCTGCTGACTTCTCCCAAGAGGCGGTGGGTAGCCCAGGGATGAGGGGAGAGGTACTGGGGCTGCCTGCACTGTGGAAAAGCAGGAGCAGGAGAGCCCTGAGCCTCCAAATCAGGTCCCCAGGAGGTCGGGACAAGCTGAAATGGGGCCAACTCTCCAAGAGGAAGTGGCCCAGGGTCAGTGTGAAGGCAGAGGGGACTGGTGGGGAGGCCCAGAGATTTCTCGGCTGCCAGGACCTCTCCTGAGGGCAAGGAACCGGGAGCAGCTGTCCAGGTGGAGACTGGAGAGAATTCCAGGCAGAGGGGAGGAGCAGACAGCCTTGGTAAAGGCCCTGAGGTGTGGACCCAGTCGATGGGGCTCTCAGCAGCCTGGCAGCCCCACAGCCTGGTGAAACCCCAGGGTCGGATCACAGGGCCTTAGGCATGAGGCCAGGAGTCCAGCCGCACACTGGAACCTTGAGGTCACTGAGAGCTCTAGCTGGGGTCTGCGGGAACCAGTGTAGATTCTCGTGAACCTTCCACACCACTGTCCCCAACCCCAGCCCTCCTGCTACCCCTGGGCCTGAAGCACATGGCTGACAGATGAGGGCAGGTGGCCCCAAGGGGAAGGGGAAGGTTGGAGCCGCTGCCAGACTGAGTGTACCATTGCCTCCTCCCCTAGCCCCAGGGCCCTCCCAGGCCAAAGAGGGGCCGGACACCTACAAGGCTCAGGTGGCCTTTTGCCCTGAGCAAGTTGGCGTGAGAACCGGCTATCAGGATAGCCGGAAGGTGGATGCAACCCAAGTGTTCATCGATGGGTGATGGATAAACACAATGTGGTCCACCCATACAGAAGAATATGATTCAGCCTTGCAAAGGAAGAAATTCTGACACCTGCTATAGCCTGGGGGAACTTAGAGAATATCATGGTAAGTGAAATAAGCCAGATACAAAAAGACAAATATGGTATTATTCCACTATATGATGTCCCTGGAGCAGTCAAATTCATAGAGACAGGAAGTAGAAGGGGGTGCCAAAGCAGAGGGAGACAGGAGCGGGAGTGAGTGTTTAATGGGGACAGCATTTCAGTTTTGCAAGATGCAGAGTTCTGTGGATGGATAGTGGTGATGGTTGCACAACATTGTGAATGTGCTTAATGACACTGAGCTGTACACTTAGAGATGGTTAAGACGGTTTTATGTTTTTTTACCCAATTAAAAATAAAAAGAAAAGAAAAGGGTGGACAGGAAGGGGGCTGGGCACAGGGAAGGCAAAGGAGGCACCAGGGCGGGGGCGACGGGTGGGCCACCACAGCTGCCCTTGCAGAGGCCGCAGGTCCACTTCTGGTGGGTCACTAGGGCCTCTGAGGCCCACAGTGGGCTCCAGGCGCCCTCTGGTGGTAGTGTGAGGGGTCAGCCTCAGACCGACCTCCCCCAGCCCTGTCCGTGCCCACTCTCCCCCAGAGAATGGGCCCCAGTCGGTGAGTGCCAGGGAGGGGCTCCTGGCTAGTGAATCTGGAAGGAGTCCACACCTGGCCCTGAGCTGTCCCCTCAACACCCGGCTTTCCCTGCCCCCTGCTCCAGCCTCTTCTTCGAGGGGCCGGGCAATGATGCCGACTGTCACCCGCAGAAGACGACCTGGACAGGGACCGCCTCTCCTCACAGCTCCCGGCCCCACCCTGGGAAGCACGCAGGTGTCAGCTGTCAGAGGTCTGCTGCCCACGGGCAGGGAGCCCAGAAGGCCCTGCCTGGCCTCGATGCTGTGGGGGTCCAGCAAGTACCTGGAGAATGAGTGGCTGTGTGTACCAGCGAGCTGATGGGTGAATGAGTGATACCCCAGACCTCAGGTAACACCCCCGCTGTCTGTGCTCAGTGTGGGGGTTCCTTCACGTACCCCTAGCTCCAGATCCTTCAGTGCCCTGATCCTCCAGAAGGGGCCTCTCCATTCCCACCCAAAACCTTGTTCCTGGCAAGGGCTGGAGCTGATGCTGGGATGAGGAGCAGTGTCCAAGGCAAGCCCAGCCCTGCACAGTGCCTGCGACAGGGGACCCTGGCCTCCAGCAGGGGAGGCGCCCCTAGGGTGAAGGGCCCCCAGTGGGAAGCCCACGGTGCTGGGGCACAGGCGAGGAGCACGCATGACCCAGGCAGGGGCTGGGCTGGCCGGAGCCTGGGGGAGCAACATGCAGGCCAGGCGGAGCCGAAGCGGGACGAGGGGCGGGAAGAGTGCCCCTGGACTGGGGGCCACAGGATGGAGCTTAGGGCCAACCAGGAGCCAGGAAGGTGGCCAGTGGGAGGCGGGTAGGGCCAGCCCCAGGCCCATCGGCCACGGGAGAGTTTGGCCTTGGCTTCGAGGCGACAGTGAACAGAGCCCCTGAGGAAAAGGTGAGTAAGCCCTCAGACAGGATTCAAGGTCTCCCAGCTGCCCAAGACCTCCTGCCTGGGCTCCCATCTCAGCAAAAGCAGGAGAGAGGGAGAGACGTGGGATGAGCAGAGGCCAGCCCTGCCGGTGTCCCTAGCTGAGCCTGTGGTCACCCAGACCCTGCTGGCCCGGGGCAGGGTGCTGCATCCCTGGATGGGGCTGGTGCCAGGGACAGTGGGCACAGTTCCCACAACTGAGAGCCAGGGGGTGCCAGGAGCCTGCCAGAACCTGGGCCACCCCGTGACATGCTCCGATGGGGCCCACCATGAGCACTGGCCTGGATCGCCCCTGCCCAGCCTGACCTAGGGAGCCCCAGGGTGTGGAGTGACCAGCCTCTCAGAGACCCCATCACAGAGATGGTCATATCTGCCAACTCTTCCAGGCAGCCTGTGCAACCTCTGGCTCCCCTGCACCTGCACCCCACTCCCCCAGGCCAGGCGGAATCTGGCCTCGGCCACCTACAGCCCTGTACCCCGGGACACAGGGCAAGGTTCCTGCAGAGGGCATGTTCCCCTCCCTGTGATGAGAAGTTCACCCCCTGCACACCTTGCATCTTCTCCAGAGCCAAAAATGCAGCTGCAGATTGATTTGCAGCGGACCTAAAAATAGCTGCCAGGCTCCAGCCAGGGCTCAGGAAAATATCCCATTGCTAGGAGACAACCCTTACTGGGAGACTGCCATTGCTAGGCAACGAGGTTGCCGTGGTGACAGCTGGGCCCTGAGTCATCGTCAGCCCTGGCTGCTCCGCCCCCTGCCCCTGGTGGGTTGTGCCTGGATCCCAGGAGGAGGGAAGGCAGGGAGCAGAAGCTGGAAGGCAGCAGAGGGTCCTGCTGCCTGCCACCCACCGCCACCACGGCCACCCCAGGCTGCAAGGTTCTCACTTCTGTGGGTGCCCATTCCAGCTGCTGGGTGATGAGAACAGCCGAACACACCTGTGGCCTGCCTGCCCCCCAGGCCCCTTGCCCCCAGGTGCTCTTGGGCCCCTGCCTCTGGGTGGAGGGCAGAGGCAGTGAGGGGCACAGTGTCCATCTGGCCCCGTGGCTCCATAGCAGGAGGCTCCAGAGCCAGCCTAGTCACTATCCAGCATTGGGCTCTCACTACCTGTGCTGTGCTGGGACCTTCAGGGCATCCCCTTGGGCCCCAGACCCACTTCCCAGGAGGGGAAGTACTTGCCTGAGGCCCACCCAGGGAGGAGGCTCCAGGGCACAAGTACAGCTCCCAAGCCCCCCGAGGAAAGCCCAGAGGACCTCCTGTGAGGAGTGTCAGAGCCGCTGCCCCAGGCCTCGAGGGCCTGAGGGCAACACCACCGCGGGCAGCCCTATTCCCTGATAGGACAGTGGCTCCCTCTCTCATAGCCCTCCAAGGTCTCAGGGCAGGATGTGTCAACAGCCTTTGGTCCTCACCTCCCACAACTCCAGACCTGGAAACTCCCAGCAGCCTGGACTGGGGAGACTCCACTGTGCCCAGACATCACGACAAGGGGTCTCAGGGCCAGCCTGGTGGAGTAGCGGTTAAGTTGGAACATTCCGTTTTGGCAGCCCAGGGTTTGCCAGTTCGGATCCCTGGCGCAGACCTACTCAATGCTCATCAAGCCATGCTGAAGTGACATCCCACATAAGAACTAGCGGGACCTACGACTAGGATATACAACTATGTACTGAAGTTTTGGAGACAAAAAGAAAAAAAGAGAGAGAACGATTGGCAATAGATATTAGTTCACAGCCAATCTTCCTTACCAAAAAAAAAAAAAAAAAAGACGGGGTCTCCAGGTAAGGGGTGCTCCAGGTCAAGGGTGCTCCCGGTAAAGGGTACTCCAAGTAAGGGGGTGCTTCAGGTGAGAAGTGCTCCAGGTGAGGGATGCTCCAGCTGAGGGGTACTCCAGCTAAGGGATGCTCCAGAAGAGGGGTGCTCCAGGTGAGGGTACACTCCAGTTGAGGAATGCTCCAGGAGAGGGGTGCTCCAGGTGAGGGTACGCTCCAGGTGAGGGTACACTCCAGGTGAGGGGTGCTCCAGGAGAGGGGTGCTCCAGGTGAGGGGTGCTCCATGAGAGGAATGCTCCAGGTGAGGGAATGCTCCAGGTGAGGGGTGCTCCAGGTGAGGACCATGGTGCCCTCCTGGACCTGGACGGTGGCCAGTGTAGCCGAAGCTCCAAGAGTAAGGGGCCAGGTGTAGGGAATGCTGTGGGCTGCAGTGCCGGAGACGGGGCTGGAAGGGTGCAGCAAAGAGCAGATCCCT